GCTACCTCAGCCTCAGGAGGTAGCACGGGATCTACCAATCAGAAGGTTAGTTGTGCGCTCCTTGCCCACTCCAACCTCCACCTTGAAGTATTTGTGGTCAAGATACTGAACCCCAAGTTACCTCTGATAGAGACAAAGAGCTTAGATACAGAAAAAGTCAACCAGTGGACAAGGCTTGACCTTCTGTGTAGAAACAGAATAGAAAGTGCAATTACTGTAAGGCAAACCAAAAACAAATCCTTTAAAATACACAGCAAACGTCAAGTACAACACATCAGTACATAAATGAAAAGGTCAGCAGTTCACTGCCGCCATCTCATGACCTTCTACTTAGTTTAGGCGCCAATATTTGTCTCAATAAGCAAAAAAAAAAAAAAAGGGTTATTTTTCTTTCTGTATACAGAACGTAAATGCGTGAAAGAGCCGTGAGAGTCAAAGATATCAGTGTTATTGCTGACATTCTCCAGCCCTACTGACCCCTCGCTGTCCTTCCAGTTCCTGGCCTGACACCATTACAGTGTTTGCCTAACCTGCGTGATAGATAATTGCTGTGATGATAACCTAACTATTAATAGTGTGTGTGCGCGCTGGTGCATGCATGCCGATGTGATACCAGGCACAGAGCTATTGGTCGCACCCTGTGAAGGACACTCCTCTCTCCTTGGTTCGTACCCCCTTTGAAGTCTGCGCAGCTGTTGACTGGGGCTGTGTCAAACAGTTGCTGCTAATAAAAACGACAGGTTGTTTCTTCATTTAGTTGCAAGCTGAACAAACTTTATTTTAATCATTCTATATCGTCCAAGGCAATGTTCCCTGCGCGTGTGCGCATTTGCGCACTGCTGGCACGGTCTCTGCGCACAGAAAATCTGCGTTGCGCACAGAAAAAAAAATCTAACCTGAATTGAAATAAAATGAATACTTTAACAATTCTGTTTTGCAGTGTTAGTCAGTGAGCGACTGGCTGCTCCCGTACGGGATTAGAACGATGCCACCATCCCATAGTCCAGCCAATAATGCGATTCACATTCGTATATACGCAGCTAATCAACGTCGTTGACAGGCTATGACAGCGTCCTTATGTGCCGACACCGGTGTTTTAGCGAGCAAAGCGGCGTGGCTGATATGGAGTGAAGCCACGTTAATGACAACGTGGACAAGCATCGGAGATGTGAGCAGGACAGACTACGGTGGCCCTGAGAGGCCAAACGGACTGCAACTTCAGAAAACACTTGCAAAAACAAAAATGCTGCAAAAAGAAAAACACTTGCAAAAAGAAAAATGCTGCAAAAAGAAAAATGCTGCAAAAGCACACACAACACAACGGACATAGGAAAAAAAAGACAACGGAAATGTTTCTGGGGAGACAATAACCGGACGGATCAGTTGCACGAACCAAAACATGTATGTATGGCTGTATCCCAATTCAGGGACTGTTTCCCAATGTTCTGCAGCCCCAAAGTACGCAGCCTTAACGGTCCTCAAGGGCCGCGTACTCAAAGATCGCTGCGGTCGGAAGTGCGGGGCTTGTAGGCTTGTGAGATGGGACGGTCTAGCCTCCGTCGCGCTGCCCAGGTTGCCTAGCAATCATGATACTAACAGCTGGAAACGTTTCATACAGCTTTGTTTGACAGAAATGAAGGAGAACATATTTTGTACATTTGTTTCTACATGAGCTTTGTGTGATTTGATAAGTATCTGAGGCTGAGACCACAGGACTGTAAAACATGATTGTTCGGCTTCATTTCTGTACTGAACAGTCATTTAAGATTAGCTAGTAAATAACAATTAGCTAATGTTGTTCATGAGACTAAA